GCATTATGTGGAGTTAGACTTTAGCATCAGTTTGATAAATAAGGAAATCTTTTAGCAGCAGCATCAAATTGGGCAGGAGGTCAAAGTGGACTCAGGTCGCTGATTGGTGGGGGGAGCTCGAAGCTTTCTTTCTGAAATGGGTTGTGGTATTATGACTTGATTCTCGTTAATTTCAACTTCATTACCCTAATGTTACAACGTTATGCTTGTAATGTTACCACTTTATTCTCGTAATGTTATAACTTTGTTATAGTAATTATTTAAACTTTGTCATCGTAATGTTATGACTTTATTCTCATAATATTACAACTTTATTCTCGAAATGTTACGACTTCATTATTGTAATGTTACAATGCTATGCTTGTGATGTTACAACCTTATTCTCGTAATGTTATCACTTTGTTATCGTAATTTTATGACTTTGTCATCGTAATGTTATGACTTTATTCTCGTAACATTACGACTTTATTCTCGTACTGTACGACTTTATTCTTGTAATGTTATAACTTTATTCTCATAATATTACGACTTTATTCTCGAAATAAAAATAACAAAAATCCTCTAGCCTGGCTCTAATACTCTATTGTAAATGAGGTATTAAATATTTCATTTTGGCTAGAAATTGTTGGTGCTTGTTACCTGCAGCGGTGTTGGCTGATGGTCCACTGCTGCCACAAGGACCACCAGTCTGTTGTCGATGCTCAGGTAGCCAAAGACGTCACACTGTGGCACAGAGACGTGAAGACGCAGGATCTGCAGGATGTCGTAGACCGTCACGGGCTGGTTCTTATTCAGCTGCACAGAAACACAATGGTTAGAAAGGGGTCCATTGGGTTTTTTAAAAAGCATTGGGTGTTTATTTATTTATGAAGAAAGCTGACAGGGCTTAACCAGAAAAGACTTTTTATTTTGCCTTAAATGCTGTCATTTAAAATATTCATAAGAAAATTAGGTCCAAATTTACCTCATGAGTGAACTTTCATTAATGCAACCGACTATTTGTACAAAGAACCCAAAACCAGGAAACAGGCTTCATATTAAAATGATGGTGTTATGAAGTGATCTCATATAAATAAGGAATAAATATTGCTCCTCATTTTTGACTGCTAAACTTTAAAAACGACACCCAGTAGGTTTGGGATTTAGCCACAGTTTGTTTAAATGAATGAATAAATAAGGTTCAAGGGTTTAAGAGGTTCAAGGAATCAGGAACATATATATGACTCAGTTTGTGTAATTAAAAAATAAAAACTGAAAAAAAAAGAAACAGATGAACCATAGAACTGAACAGGGATTCCTTTTATACCTTTGAGAAAGTGTTCATCTGCTTCTGGCTCCAGAGGATCTGCAGTATACTGGCGCATATGGGGCAACAGGCTCCTGTAAATAAAGTTAGACATCAGGGGTCCTGCTCCTGTCGGCTGCTCTGTTATTACTAAAAAGTGATTTTCTGCTCACCAGGAGGAGTGATGGGGCGGCAGCCCTGAACAGATATCGGCGGGCAGGTCACCTCGATGCACACCCTATCTAGAATCATGCCAGACAGGGCCCCTACAGCACGACAGGGGCCCTCATAGTCCACAGCCACACGGTCAGAGAATGCCTCACACACGGTGCTGTAGGTCTCACCGTTGTGACCGCAAACCTTTTTAGTTTTCCGGCAGGCATCCTGGGGACAGAGATTTTGTTAGCTTCTCTAAACTCTGACTGATTGCTTCCAGATGAGTGAAGTCTCTATTTACCAGAATAAATATTACATTATCTGTTTCTTCAAAATTAAAGAGTTTAACGTTTAAAATGTGTAATTAAAATATATATACCATGAATCTTATACTTTTTTGGTAAATAAAGGGCATGAAGTTACTAAAGAGTAGCTGTGCAGCAGCATCTGCCTGAAATTAAAAACCATGAACTTAACAAAAACAGACAGAAAGAAACATGTCACATGGATATTTGGTAATAGGCAAGGCACATTTATTCATTGAGGGTAATATAACGCCTGCATTAACTAAAAATGTTGAAACCTGACAGCAAAATATGTTTGCTTTTATTATTCTGGTGCCTGCAGTTTGGATTACATACATGAAAAC